GTAAGCGGAATGATAGGCTTCTTTGGAGGTCAGAACCAAAAGCTCTTCCCTCATCAGTGGTAGATGAGGAGCAAATATTTCCTGAAGCTGAAATTCTAGAGAGCATGCAGTCCTCCTAGGAGGTATTTCCCTTCGTGGACATGCGGCTAGGGTTGGAAGAGAAAAAGCAATTTGTCATCTTTCCTGGGCCTCTTTTCTGGCACCTGCTTCTCAGGAAAACACCTGCTTTCAGAGTGACTGATGTACGCATCCAGGTGCTGAGGTAGCAGTGGTCTTGCGGAGGGGAGCAGAGCTTCACAGGTTGAGTTCAGGCCTGCATCAAGTACAAGGAGAAAAATCCCCATTGCAAAGGGAAGTGTAGGAAACTGTCATTGTGGAGAGAAGGTGATTGCTCTCTGCTGGCTTTTACATCATCTTCTTTGAATCAGATGGGATAATGTAGGATTTAAAAGCATGTGTCACTGTGTCGGCACTTAGGGTTCAGAGAATTGCAAGGCAAATCTGGTCTTCGCCAAAGCACCCCCAAGAGATGAGGAGTAATGTTCCCGAACAAAGGACACCAGTTGCTTTTTGCTGAGTACCCCCTCTGTGGCAGTTCATGGGAGAGGAGTAGCCGTCCACGTGTTCTCCTGTCCTTCCTGGACACAGACAAACATTACTGTCCCTCTGCCGTTGCAAAGGCACACGACATTTTCTTCTCAGTGATGCACATGGAAATGTTGCGCGTCACATCCGGGGATGAGAGAGCCGGTGTGCATCCGTGTCCTTTCTCCTCCTTTGCAGCAAATTGGTGGCCCCTCGTTCACATGAGCGAACCACAGGAAAGAAGCAGTGGGGACCCCTGCACTCCTGAGAGCAGAGGGCACCTGCAGTGCACCCCAGAATTTGTTTTCACACAGACCATACTTTTATGGTGTCAAGCTCTTCAAATTCCAGGTTTGGTCTCTTGAATCAGCTAGCAGTTACTTTAACTAATACAGTCAATATACAGCTACTACTCTTACTGATAGACTTATTTAAGTATTTTTATTGAAAAGACAGTATGAGCATCTTTCTGTTGCATAAAAATATCTTAAAATACAGATATATCTTAATTTCTTCTTTCCAAAATCCCTTCCCTCCTCAGAGATCATCACAATGATTAATGCAGTATATATTATTTTATAGATGATTTTAGGTTTTTTACCTATATGGATGTTCTATTAATATATATTTGTCATTTAAACATATAATGGTGTGAAGGTTAACCTTAACTATGTCAACTAGATTGGCTTGCAGTCCACTCAGAGGACTGATTATGAACCTTTCCCAGGGTGTGTCTTTGTGGGTCATGTCAGCATAAATTGGGTATGTTATGGTCCCTGGATCCTTCTTTGGCACTGTTCCCCTCCTCTGTTTTCCAGCTTCTGTGAATTAAGCAGATTTGCTCCATGACGAATTTCTACCATGATGTTCCTGCCTTAGAACCAGCTGACCATGTACTGAACCCCCTCTCCTTTAAGTGTGGGTGTAAGGCATTGTATCCTAGCAACAGGAAAGCTGAGTAACATGATAGATTAAATGGGTAAGGATATGTGTATTAATCTGCAGCTGCCTCTAATGCTTCGAATGATGGATTCAGGATCATGCTCTGACTGGACAGGAGAATATGTGTTGATTATATAACACTCCCCAGAATTCCAAGGCACCCATGTGCCATAAATTATCAAGCCATTCTCCTGGTGGACACATAAATTGTTCTCCATTTGTTGTTTAATTTATTAGAGCCGAAGTCAACATCTTTGAAGTCTTGTTCAAATCTACATCTTCTCTCATAAGAAGACAACCACTTGGACGTATGGTTAGAGTGGAAATAATGGGAACATATGAAGTTTTTATAAATATTGCCAAAAATTCATTCAAGTAATGTTAAGCTATTTTATATTTTAATAAAAATCACAGGTCATATTCATTTCTGTAATGTCAACAGAGAATTTCCCATTTGATGTTGAGGAGAAAAATATTCTCTAGAACTGTCCAGGAGGCTGAAAAGTAAAGTATGCAGGAGACCCGTAGCAAAAGATGGGCTCAGGGAGGACCCAGAGTACAGTCGTGCCTAGCATCTATGAGAGAGCTGTAGCGATCACTTTTCCACTGTGGGTAGACAATACCTGATAGCCACAATTTGAAGTAGGAGAGGTCTAATTTAGCTCACAACTTTCAGAGGATTCACTCCAGGGTTGGTTGGCTCCAAGTGCAGGGGAAAACTTTTCGCACTCATAGTAAGCCTGCAGGAGAGGGGGGAGGGGGAGAGGGAGAGCCAGGGAGGGAGATTCACCCTCTAAAGTTGCACTCCCAAGGACATACCCCTTTTCTACCACTGGTGAAAGCACTGGTGATCAGTGCACACCCATGATCCAACGACCTTCCACAAACCCCACCTCTGAGGACATGAGACTTTGGGGACATTCTAGACCTAAGTCATAACAAGACCACGTGGAGATCAGTTCAGAGAGTCCCTATCCAGCTGTCACTCATAGCTCTTGACACAGAGTTAGCACAGAGAGGAGCTGAGGGACAGTGGAGGAGCAGAGGAGGGAGGACGTGCTGGGCCCACCCCTGTTGGGAGAATGGACCAGTGCACACCAGACACCCCGCCCTCTCTGCGGGTCCCTTTCTCCTTCAGCAAGAGCCACGCTGGACCCTCTATCATCTGGGCAGGCAGCATCTCTCGGCCACTGTCGTGTCCCAGAGCCCCTGGGCACTGTGCAGACCTGGGAGATGACCTGACGCCCTCTGGAGAGGGGTGCTCCGTCCCCTGTGCTCAGTGGAGCCCCACTGAGTGTCACTGTGAGAGGGAGTGGGCTGGAGACTGCGGGCTGGAACAGGCCAGAAATACGGTGAAGCAGTGGACGGCGTGCTCAGCCACATGGAGGGGGATGGAGGAGGGAACATGCCAGGGACCAGTGACGTCAGCCTCTGAGATGAAGGGCCGGCTGTGGACTCTGTCTGAAAAATGACAGGGGTGTGTTGCTGCCTCAGAGACCTCTTGAGGATTCTGAGTCCTTGGCCTAAGAGGGCTGAAGTTGTGGCTGTGACTGTTGGCCTACACTGCCTGCAAAATTTGTATGGGACAATGCGTTGGCCCAAGGTACAAACATTTACCTGGATAGAAAGCACATAATAGCACACATTTCCTTGATGATAATGCTGGGGAGAGTCAGGTGCAACACACTGAGTTTAGGTAACCACACCCCTGTGAAGAGCAGTCACATCTCCAAGATGGTTTTGGAGACTGGGGAGATCACACCCACAAGGTCACTCTCAGTGATAGTTTCCTATGGGGATTTGGAAAGCGAGGGAGCACAGTTAGGGAACTGTGGGTTTTTCAAAGGGGGATGAAAGCTCAGTTGTGTGTAGGCCCACATTTTGTATGGGCATGTGGATCCCTCCAGTGACCTGCCAAGTGTATTCACACCCTGATGCCTGGGATCTGTGAAGGTGACCTCATGTGGCAAAGGGTCTTTGCAGATGTGGTTAAGGGTGGGGGATATGGAGATTTTTCTGTACTGTGTGAGTGAGCCCTAGATGTAATTACAAGAGTCCTTAAAGGAAAGTTATGGAAAGAGATTTGAAAGAGGAGAGAAAGGCATTGTGATCACAAAATCAGAGATTGTAGTGATGAGGTCATAAGCCCAAGAATACTGGTAGCTTTGGAAGCTGGAAAGAACTGGCCCTGCTGATGTGTTTTTGTTTATGTTTTGTTTTGGTCATGCTTGGTATGGAACCCAGGGCTCCAGTTATGCTAGGCAAGGGCTCTACCACTGAGCTCCATCTCCAGCCTTAGTGCTGCCTATTTTAGTACTATATGTCTCCTTTGAACATCTGGCTTCTGGAATTTTAAGAGAATGAATTTGCACTGTTTTAATGTGTTGGCTAGAATGTAGAGAAAAAGGGATTCTGGAATACCATTCATGGAAATATAAATTGGTAGAGCTGGTGTGTGAAATGTTACGGAAGTTCCTAAAATAATGAAGCATAGACCTTCATATCATCCAGGAAGCTCTCCTCAGGGTTTGTATCCACAGGAAATGGAATGAGTACGTTGAAGAAGCATCAGTGATCCCACGGTCACTGCAGAGCTGTTCACAATTGTCAAGACGTGAAGCACGAAGTGTCCTTCCACTGATGAATGGATAAGGAAAACGTGGCAGAGATCCCCCGTGGAAGACGTTCAGCCATAGCATGAAATCCTATCATTCGCAGCAGCATGGAGCAAACCAGCCTTGTGATAACTGAAATGACCCAGGCACAGAAAGACAAGTGCACCCGATCTCACTCATATGTGCAGCCTAAAATGGTCACTCTCACAGAAGTTGAGAGTGTGATGATGCATTCCAGAAGTCGGGGCCTTAGAGGGACAGAGAGCTGGGAGAAGCTGGTGAACTTGTACTGAGTTACAGAGAAGAAACAAATTCTGGCACTGTCTTACATGGCAGTATTACATTACCATGCTTTTTATAAAATAAAAGCTTGAAGAAAGGATTTTGAATGTTTTACCATAAAGACATAATAAATGTGAAGAAATAGAGATGTTTACTCTGATTTAAACATTACATGATGGACATATGTATTGAAATGATACATGGTATCATTAAATTGTACACTCTTTATAGTTCAATTATTTTTTTTTAAAAAATGTGCAGTTTTAAGCCAGGCATTTCTTGGTAACTTGTGATAATTGCAAAAGGAAACTAATGCAGTCTATTAAAGATATGCTCTCAGTTCTCATGAAGTGATTCCTATATGAGTTTCTTCTTCAACAGAGAACAGAGAATGGTCATGGTGTCATGCCGTGTTCACACTTCAAATGATGAGTCTAGTTCATTGTCTGAAGCTGGCTGTGGTGGACCAGCTGCTCAGGGGACTGAGGCAGGATGATCACTTGAGTCCAGGGGTTAAGGGCCAGCCTGAGGCACTCAGCAAAGGTCCTTCTCTTTCCAAAAGTGCAGACAAATGTCTGGTGTGCGTGGGCTCCACTTGTCACTGTGCAGGAACCTTTAGAGGTTGGAAGTAGGAGTAGACAGACACATGAAAACCAAATGTGTCTCTTCTGTTAGTTTTTCATCTAGGATTATATTACCACACATTTTACTCGTACGTGTTATGGACTTCACTATGCATTGCTATGACTTCTACTGTGAACAATTATCTTTTAAGCCCATTGACACACTAAGGAGATCATCTTTATACTCAGCCATAGAGTTGTAATTTCTAGTGATGTTCATTGCCTTGTGTAGTTCCAGATCTTTCTGTGGTATCATTTTCTGCCTTTCTAGAGGACTAACATTTGCTGTAATACACCTTTGTTGGTATTTAATTCTGGAAAATCTTTTATTTTGAAATGAATATTCACTGGTTACAGAATAACGGGTTGATGACTTTGTCTTTCAGCATTTTAAGATATTGCTTCTCTCTTCTTTGGCTTTCATTCTTTTCTCTATTTTTGACAAGAAATATGCTGTCTTCTTTATGACTGAATATGTATTTTTTGCTGTGTTTACCTTTAAACTTTCTTTATCATTCATTTTAAGTCATTTAATTAGGTGTCATATAATATTCTTCATATTTCTTTTGCTTGGATTCTTTTAGCTTCTTGCATCTGTATGTTTACAGTTTTCATCAAATCCTGATAATTTTCATTCAATATTTCTTCAAATGTGCTTTGTATCACCTATAGTTCCACTCCTTCAGGAGTCTCAAATTCTTAGAACATTTAAGTTGCCTCATTTCTCATGAATTTCTTCATTATTTTCAGTTTTTTTCTCTTTTTCTGTTATATTTTGGAAAGTTTCTGTTTCTGTTTTGTAGATGTTTTTTTCTGTCGTGTCCACTCTGCCATTAGTATACTCATTGTGGTTTTTCACCTCAGAAATTGTGGTTTTCGCATTTCAAAGATTACTTGGGATTTTATTATATAGTCCATGTCTCTATTTTATATGTTTAATTGTATTCTAAGTTTTTGCACACACGAAATTCAGTTTCAATAATTTGTTATTATCCTGTTATCATCTGTCCCATTTATGTGTCCATCACGTCAGCTGATTTTCCTTCCAATTATTCATGCTAGCATCCTGTTTCTTTGAACGCCTGCTAATTCTGATCAGATGATGAACACTGTGAACTTAACCTTGTTGAGAGCTGGGTATTTTTTACCTCTATAATAAATATTGTTGAGCTGGGTTCTGGACATAGTTAAGTAACTTAGAAATAGTAAGATCCTTTTGAGTCTTCCTTTAAGTTTTGTTATGTGAGATTGAACTGTGCATGATCTCTGGTCAATGTTTCTTTATCACTGAGACATAGCCCCTCTGAGTGCTCCAGCCCAGTGCCCTAAGCATGATGAGTTTTTCCCCTTGCCTGATGGGTACAGCAATGAACCCCAGGGCTTTGGGTTCTCAGGAGATTCCTCTGTGCACCTTTCTCTATTTTGGTATTCCACACTGCAAGCTCCAACCATCTCCATGTTCCTCAACTCCAAGTTCCACGTGCTTAACTCAAAGTAAATCAGGCTCCTCTATGCCCTGCGAGGTGTGATCTGTCCTCAGGAAGAAATCCAGAGGCCGTTATAGGGCTTGCTTCTTGTTTCACATCTATCAGAATCACTACCCTTTGCTCCCTAGTGTCCAGTAAGTCTAAAATTGTTTTGAATGTTTTGTCTTTTTTTTAAAGAGCTTTTAAGATACATAAGATAGCCCTCCTCTTATTACCCTCTTTCACAACCCCAGCTTGCATGGTTCTTATTCCTTTTGTGCTTTCTAATAGTCTTCCTTCTACATTTGTGTTATCTTCCTTTTTTAGATTTCACATTTTGGGGGCAAATATGCAGTACTTTTCTTTCTGTGTCCAACTTATTTCATGTAACATGATGATATTCAATTACATTTATTTTCTTGCAAATGACATAATTTTGTTTTTATTTATTACTGAATAATTCTCTATTGTAGTTATGTGCCACATTTTTATCTGTATTTCCTTTGTTGGGTGCCCAGACTGGTTCTGTATTTTGACAACTGTAAATTATGCTACAATAAAGTGAGTATGCTACTATCTCTATACTAAATGGTCTTTAATTCTTTTGAGTATATACCAAAGTGTAGTGTATTCGTATCATATGGTAGTTCTGTTTTAGTGTTTCAGAGAAACTCCACACTGACTTCCATTGTGGCTGTACAAATTTCAATTCTCACCAATAGAGTACATGGTAGTTAAAGTTAATTATGTCAAGTTGATTGTCTTGGGAAGTACCTGGAAGATTAGTAAAACATATTTATGGGTGGTTCTGGGTGGGTCTTGGAAGTATAATTTTGGGTACTCTATGTGGGCCCTGGCTCACTCCTCTGTTCTGTTTCCCTGCCACTATGAAACAAGAGTCTTTTCTTTGCCATGCCCACTTACTACTATGATGTTTCTGCCTTGGAGCCAGCCAGCCAGTGATGGAATCCCTTGAAACTCTAAGCCAAATTCAGCATTTCTTCCTTTAAATTGTATGTTTGGGATAGAAAGCATTTATTGAATTCTGTGTGTTGAACCAACTTGTATCCCTGGAATGAAAGTCACTTTGTGTATGACTTGGTATATGATGATGAATTGATTAATGTGTTGAATTCAGTTTGCAAATATTTTATTTAAAACCTTTGCATTTTTGTTTATCAAGTATATCAGCCTACAGAGCTCTGATTTTTATTTTGTCCTTTCCTGGTTTTGTCATTCAGGTTATATTGTTCTCATAGAATGGGTTTGGAAGAGTTCCTTCAGTTTCTATTTCAATTTAGTAGGCTGAGAAACTTTGGTGTGAGCTCTTCATTAAATATCTGTTAAAATTCATCAGAGAATTTGTTGGTACCATGGTTTTACTTTCTTGGGAGACTTCATTACTGTTTCTTTCTTTTTTTTTTTTTTTTTTTTTTTTTTT